CGCCGGCCGTGTTGGACTACTCCTCTAAAATAACTTCAATTCCTGTTCCTCCCCCCCCATTTATTCCTTCCTTCCTCCCTCCCTTCAAAGCTAACAATAAATTTATTTTTCCTTAAAACATCCAAAAAAACAAAGAAAATAAAAGAAATGCCCGAAACTCCCCCATCACCTCTGAATAAAAATTGATGGAGCTCTGGGTCATATTAATCCTGGCCATTGCGATCCCCCTCTCCCTCCTCCTCTCCTCCCTCCTCCTCTTCCTCTTCCTCCGCCGCCGCCGCCGCACTCCAGCCTCCTCTACCCCTCCTCACCCCTCGATTTCACCCCCGACACCAGACCCAGCTCCCCAAAAACCCCAGCAAGCTCCGCCTCTCCAAAAAACTAGCCTCAGATTCCATCACCTCCCCCAGAGCAGCGCCAGCACGCGCCAACCCGTCCATCAAGAAACCGGCTTCAATTGGACAGCCACCCGAATCTCATCTCCATCGCCCGCCAAAAAACGTGATGGCCGGGCTTCGTGTTCGCCGACAGAGCCTCGATTCCTCGGTCCACGTCGTCTCCGCTGTGGGGCCTGTGCGCGTCCTGCGACGGTGGCCGGGCCAGGAACCAGCTGCGGGGAAGGGAATCCCCTCCTCGTCCTCGGGAGCTTTGCAGCGCGGTCAGAATGAACCCGTCGGGGGCGAACAACGAGCCCGTCTCCGTCCGCATGAACCTGCCCTGCCGGGGCCCCAGCTGCACAGCAGCGTCGTTTCCTCAGGAGCCTACTTCGAACTTACCGTCTTGTACGTTAAGACGGCGGACCGGGCTTCGCGGGCCAGTAAGCGGGCCAGGGACGGGCCGAAGAGCGATGATGGTGAGGACGATCGGCCTGAAGTTGATCGAGGGGGGTGCCCAGGGAGCGGGTGACGTCGCGGGTGACGGTGCTGTTGAAGGGAAGAGGTTTAAGAGCCCGTCGGCATCAGCCGAAAGAAAGCACAAGAATTCCGTCGTCTCTTTGGGTTTCATGGTCGGAGGATCGCCGGTGACGAATACGACGCCTGGGACTTATCGGGGCTCTGTCGGGTTTCACTCCGATGGCTCCGTTTATCTTGACGGTAAAGAGCGATTTCTCCTTAGATTTCTGTTCTCCGGTTTCAACGTATTACTTATTGGGTGAACCTAACAATTTTAGGGGACTTATTTCTAATATCAATATTTGGAGGATCAATTTTCAAAATGCTCGTGATTTGGGACCAATATGTCGGGGGTTGGAATGAAAAAAGCACTAAAATAAGAAATTTTCGAAAGTGTCTTGCATCTATTCGATTCATATGAGATAGATTTAGAGTACTTAGATTGATTCTATAGTTAAATTAGTCTAGTTTATCTCCATTCACGAGCCTTTGTATCCTAACAAAAACGAATAATGCTAACCAGACTACGCCCAGTCTAACTTGGTAACCATAGAAGCGCGTGCTTCTCTTATGAGTCGTCGATTTTTTAAAATAAAAATAAAAAACATTCTTTAGCATATGTTATAGAAAACTATATTACATTAAACATATGTATTTCCTATCGATCTCATCGAATCATATGCACAGGTCTAAAGCTGGTAACTGAGTCAGAAGAGAATGCGGGTTGGGCGGGAGCCAACAGAACAATCGGATGCGGATTCAATCCGGTCAAGAAGAAGGTGTACTTCACAGTGGATTCAGAACTGAAACATGTGATCAGATGCACATCCGACATCTACGAAAACCCGTTATACCCGATCCTGTCATCAAATTCAGACACGATGGTCTTAGTCAATTTGGGTCAATCTGCATTCAAGTACGCACCAGCCAACGCCCAACGGAGCCCTAACCCGTGCTTTGCCCACGTATCGCCCTATCGTTACGAGGACAGCGGTGAGCTGTTTTCGTTGGCTAGGATCGATTCTGAGTGGATGGACGGCAATAAGAGGAGCAAGAATAGTTGCAGGAGCAGCGGGAATTGGGACGATGCGAGTGTTGCTTTGGATATTGATGGGGAGTCTGATCTGTTTGAAATTTCCTTGCATAATTGATGAGGAGGGGTACATGGTTTTGATTCTTCTTATGCTAACTATATGGCTACTAACGTGTTTATTGATTGTTATACTGTGTTTTAATTAACACGGTGTTAAGGGTTGAGCAGAGGAGAGAGATTTGTTGTCGTAAGACTTGTATAGCATAGTTGTCACAGATAACTTACTGTATAGTTTACATGAAGGGATACTGGATCTTGGAGGAATTCGAGTTGTACAGTCTTAAACTTTCAGAGGATATGAGACAATTCATTTATGACGACTGAGTCCTTTCAGAACAGTTCGTTTACCAAAAAAACAAAAAAAAAAAAAATCCCCGACGGTTTTGATAGTTCACAGTGTAAATCTAGAAGAATATAGACTTTTTGGCCAACCATCCTTTCACCAGACTTAAATGATGAACCAAAAGTCTTAATCGTTACTTGTTTTAGTCTATGGTCGTATTTTATTTTTCGACTATTGTGCTGAAAATCTTGAAGCGTTCTATATTTTTTATGCTTAGTTGTCAAAACATGCAGATGCAATCAACAGTCAGTTGCGTGATGATGTTTAACAACTCATCATTTGTTTATATTTCAATCAGGTTGGATGGGATTATTAATAATATGCTATAGGAGATGACCGTAAAAGAATACCTAAAACTTAAAGATATCAGTGTCACACCCTAACACTGCACTGCCTCTATTTACTGCATTGGAGATTGATAATAATCAGTTGCATATTAGTTTAACTGATTATTGAATGAAATTTTGAATGATGCAAAATTATATTAAATATAATATGTAAAATAAAAAACAATGAACTCACAAATTATTAATGAAATTTTGAATATTTAAGAAAACGTCAAAATAATCACTTTTCCCTTAACGTATTGGTGAATTCTCAAAGTTGCTATCAATAAATCTATTTTGCTCCTCAAACTATGTTTATAGTTTCAACCCGGTCCCTTATTAGGTCTACAATCAAATATTTAATTGATTAACGATTGTAACAGCATTTTTTTTTCTTCATGAATTTTCATCACTTTATCTGCTTTTACCCCCAAACTAAAAAACATTTTTTAACTACTTTTCTCTCAAAACATTTTACTCTTTAACCTTTATATGAATTAAAAAATAATTTTTAAGATTGCAAAAAATACAAGAAATAAAAAAAATCACTATCGCATCATAAGTCAGTTAATTATTTGACTGTATACTCACAAAATAATCACATTGGACACATTTAGCTTTAAAGAGGAAAATAAACAAATTGACACTTCAGGGAGCAACTTGAGAGTTCATCAATAATTTAAGGGGAAAATACGATCATTTTGTCCTTAAGAAGAGGATAACATGTATGCAGTTCGCCTCATTGCTCCCAAGACTGAATAGGCCTATGTCTACCTGTTATTGGTCCCCGAACGCCTCACTTCTAGGGGTGACAAATTATGACCCGACCCATCAACCCGACCCGACCCGACCCGTTTATATTGGGTATGGGTCAAGTTATATGGGTCGATAAACGGGTCAACCCGAACTGACCTGTTTATTAGATGGGTAAATTAAAGTTGACCCCAACTAACCCGTGTAACCCAATTCCGACCCGTTTAATTCTAAATGGGTTGCAGACTCCAAATATGAAGATCATCTTCGTTGTCTTCATCATCCTCCTCCTCTCTCTCCTCTTCCTTCGACCCCTAGTTTCCTGCCAGGTCCAGCCTCTCCAGCGCGGTCGACTGCTTCTCGACCCTCATGGACAACGAGCCGACGTTTCAACGGTCGAGATCGGTCACGGTTCCACTCGTGCGGACAAGATCGGAGGAGGATGAGTGGAGGTAGGAGAAGGGGCGGAAATGGTGGAAGATCTGGGGATTCTTGAAGACGAAGGAGACGACCAAAGTCCTAAACTCAAGCAAGGCTATGTTTAGTTTGTTTTGAATTATTTAGTTGTTGAAATCACGTGCTCTCAACATTGAACTGAGATTTGATAAACAGGTCATTCGGGTTACATGGGTCGGGCCGGGTAACCCGTTTAATAAACGGGTCGGGTAACCCGTTTAATAAACAGGTCGGATCGCATTGACCCATTTGTTAAACGGGTCGGGTCGGGTCACACTTATATGGGTTGGGTCAACTATGACCCAACCCGACCCAACCCAACCCGTTTGCCACCCCAACTCACTTCCACACATACTAATAACTAATCACAGTTCAGCCCCTATTAGCAAGCAATAAATTCTCAAGGTTGCATATCTCACCCTATTGCAGCGTAGGTTCTAGTATACTCCAGATATTTATACTTATATGCCTACTTCTTATAATATTATATATGTTTACAGATACATTAGCATTTTTCCCAATGATTTCAAAAGGCTTTTGAGCATAGATAACTAGATAAAATTTGTCCAAACCACACCATCCGTACTAAAGAAAGATAAATATAAATTTCCATCATTATCCAAAGCAATTAAAAAAGAAACTGAGAAGTATGAAGATCATTAGTTCATTGCATACCTCTCTACCTTCCCCAAGTCTTATATATTCGTAAGTAAACTCTAAACAACAAGCCACGACCCAAGTAGAAGGGAAATATAGTAAGGGTATTGGGGCAGTGCTCTCCAAGTGCAGTAGCAGCTGATCTATGCTCTTTTGTCACGTCCCGGTTGGCCCATTTGTGATTTTGCATACCTAACGATCTTCTTAAGGAAAAGTGAAAAGAATATATCACATTTATAATGAAAATAAATGAAGTGCTAATTGCCTCACAATTTCCCATGACATAGGATTTATAGTAAATTCAGCAAATGCTAAAAGGTTAAGAAGTTTTAAGATTATTACGTATCTTGTGGCAATATTCAGAGAATATTCGCACAATTGCATAACAAGAAGGTACTTATGTGCCAATTTTAAATATTTTAGGGTATATAAGAGGTAGATTTCATGAAACCAACCAATATTTTGGAATTCCCACAAAACCCCCAAGATGTTGTTTTTCCCACTAAACGCCAAAAATAAAAAATTCCCACATAATCCACAAAAAAACGAAAATGACCCTCAGGTCAGAAAGAATCCTTTTTTTTTGGCAAATTGCCTGATGAAAGGGTTAGGGTTAGGGTTAGGTGGAGGGGAGAGAGAAAAAGAAGAGGGGTTTATTTGCAAATTACCTAATGTGAATTTGTTTTGCATGAGAAAAGTTTTTTTGGCCTAAGGGGAATTTCCATCACTTTGGAGGTTGATGGAAAAGTTTTTGGTGTTTACTGGGAAAAACAAAGCATTGGAGAGTTCGTAGGGAACTTCCCAGAGTACGGAGGGTAGTGAAATTTACCCTTATCCAAGTCCTAGCTAAAAAACAAATGAGAGGGTATGTAAGTGCAAAGTGGTATTTAAGTTCTAATTAGCTATAATAAATTAATAAGTTGCACTAGAAGATCGTCTGTTGTTCACAGGAAAAGGATACTCCAAGTGCATGCCTTCTCCAACTGATGAGTATAGGATGGTTCCCTGAAGATGATTCAAGGCTCCAGTCGAAGAGGGCACATCCTGAATCAAACAAAATAACAATTAAAGGCATATTGTAACTGACAGCAGTAATTTAAGAAATTCACAATGAAAATGAATTATTTGGCATACGACAGAGAAAATGAATAGTTTAGAATGAGTATATACTTGAGTACTTATTGACAAGTTCAGCAAGTCATAATAGCATGTGATTGACCATTATATAATCGGGCATTAACATCTTATAAAGAGTTATTCTGAGAATTGATCTTAGCAAGTATTTAACCAAGACAAATGTATCTTAAGATGATGGACAAATATTATATTTGCATTCAATCCAAAACTGAAAAATGGAATTAGTGATGCACAGAGATGAACCTATCATCTCCAAGTTTTTGTCATCCAGTGTGCTTTGGTGTCCATAGTTCTATCAGTTCTGATCAACCTCTTTAATTTTGGCATGTTAACTCTTAATTTATAAAGAGAGGTACTGATCTATAAATCAAATAAGAGGTTACAGAGGTAGAGCAATCATAAAGAAAGTAAAACCTTTGTGTACCATTTGGCAACAAGACTCATGAACTGCTATGTCTTTAACACTCGCAAACTCCACTACTGCATCAAAATGCTGAAGTCGTGCAGGGTTCAGGGATACTATTTGGCATTTAAAAAAGTGCAATGCAAATAACATACAAACATTTCAAATTTAATTATATGACGCTCTTAAGCCCAGAAAACATATGCCAAAATTTAAACATATATCAGTCTCAGCCCATGTTTTCTAGGTTTATGCCAAAGAAAATGGGATAACAGCAACAAAAACATTGACATATGCTTCTTAAGCATTCCTTTTAAGGTTTACAATACCTTAAAAACACAAGCAACAGAACATAAAATGTAAGACATAAGCCTTGAGCTAAAAGCTTCTATATATGGAGATAGGTGTTACAATACCTTGAAGTCAACAAAGGCAACAGGTAGCCCTTTTTTCCTCTGCAACTTTAATTTTAAGAACCCTGGGCATCTGTGCACAATATAAAGACTGATTACAATCACAGTATTTAAAAAAGAACTAGAAAAATGAGAATAAACTCAAGCATGACATGATTGCTCCAAACCTTGAAAATACTTCAGTTAGCTCCTGCTCCGAACAAGTTGGACCCAGGTTGGCAACGAACAGTGTTGAACAGGGGTTTGTATTCTGAGGAATATAATTTGATGAAGAAATATTCTGCAAATGTCAAAGCAAATGGTTAATCAAATCAATGACAACACAAAGAGACTCCATAGCTCAGACTAGCTATTCACACGTGTGCCTCTACATCTTGGACAAACTCAATACAGAAGGAAATTATAATACTAAAAGCATTAATAAGAACCACTTTGAATTCCATTACACACAAACGAATGTAAACATTGAGCATCAACCAAATAGAATGATTAAGCGTCAGTCAATGCAACAACAGTTTCTTTACTGAAAAGCATCATATAGAGGGTCAGTCACACACGGCTTGCTCAGATTGGTCAATTAATAAAATACTTCAAGGATATCTATTCCTCTATAATAATGGGAAGATCCAAGATTCACTATTCACGCTAGTAACGATACAGTAAATTACTGCAGTGTTATACTGTATCACAAACAGGAGGATCCAAACTTCACTATTCATGCTACAGTAAATTACTGTAGTGTTATTACTGCAGTACAGGCGGAACTGTAGTGTTTAAAACGTATTGTAACATTATTACTGTAGCACTTACAAAAAGTGTATTTAAATACAGAATTACTGTAGCCAAAATAAAAAAATGGAGGTTTGCACAGAGTGCACACTAGTCAATATGACTAGAGAAACGAAATGACATGCTTTAAAGAAGACACTATCCTTACAAAAATTCAGTGAGACATCAAATGCAGCATTGAACAAATAAAAAAATAGAAAGTGCTGCACTTACAATCAAACAAAATGAGATCACTTAGTTCAATAAAGATGAAAATATTCTCGTCGCCATCTTTAGCTTTAGGTAAGAGCTAAATGCATATTGTATTAATAAAATAATATCCTGCAAATATGACCTCAAGTAATGGGGGAGCACGCGGAAGGCTTCGATCTGAATGCGGGAGAACTAAAAAGAAGAGGATCAAGAAAAATAGGCTTCACACCCAGCTTATGACATAGGCTTCACATCCAAGGGTTCCACATCCTACTAGAGAATAGGCTTCACACCTAAGGGCTTCCAAGTTCCAACCCGCTAGAGAATAGGCTTCACACCCAACAAGCAATTCACATGCTCGACAAAAGATATCACATCTCAAGAACCTTTCATGTCATTCATCATTCTCCATTCCTCATGGACGATACATCTTATTTATAGAAAAGAAAAAACATCTAAACACTTGAAGGAAGCAAATTAAAATCCTAATCAAATCAAAACCTACCAAAATTTAAAAGATGCAATCAAATAAAATCCTAACTAAACTAGAAAGAGATATAATAATCAAATCCTAAAGAAATCCTAACTTAAATAAAAGATTGCAAAGAATAATATCAAATCCTAATAAAATGTTCATCAAATCCTCATCAGGATCAGATATTGATATATCATGTATCAAATCCCCTCTTTAAATTTGACATCCTCGTTGAAAATACTAAGAAGAGGTCATAAGCTTCTTTTGCTATATCACGAAGACTTGGATCTGGCCTTGACTTTTGCTCTGGTTTAATAATGACATAGAGACCATGAATTGGGTCTTTCTTTCTTTTTCTTATTTTTTCTTTTTGGTGGAGAGAAGATGGAGATGGATCCTTCCGCTTGATACCATGTGATGGAGAAAAGGAGGAGGGCTTCGATCCAAATGCGGGAGAACCAAAAAGAAGATACGATCGAGATAAATAGGTTACGCACCCAAAGGCTTCACTTCACACCCCGCTAACGATAGGCTTCACACCCAAGCAGTTCATGTAGTGACCTGCTACACTAAGTTAGATTGATTGTAATAAAGTTGAGGTTGTGCAGATTAAGTATACTTGAGGGCCTTTTACATTTTTTTTTCCTTTACCTTATCCTCAGATTGAGGTTAATTAATGTTTGAGGTGCAAAAATCTAATTTGATGGAAACAGAGGCCAAAGACGTGTTCTATGTAATTGAAAGATTTAGCAAGCATATATACTCCTCTATACATAAAGAAGAATCCGAAGAATCATTGTTCATACTATATAGTAAATAATGCAATAATTTACTGTAGCATAAACAGTAAGTCAAATCAAATCATCTACACTCGATGTTATTATTTATGATACAGTATTTACTGTAGCAAAACATTAAATTAAATCTGCTCCTCCATACTTGAAGTTACTATTCATGCTACAATTGTTGTATCATAAATAGTAAAGTAAATCAAATGTATTAAAATTTGGATACTTCTTAAGTACAGAGAAATTAGATATGATTTCTAATTTGAAGTATAGAATTAAGTCAAATGTATTAAAACTTAAAGGGAGACAAGTTCAAAATGCGGTGTTTAAAAAAATAGGGGGTCGTGCTTTGCACGGGGTGCACACTAGTGGTCAATTAATTCCACAACTCTAGCACAAAATACTTCTGACCTCATTGTTTTGAGACTTAGTTGGAGGGTGATATGGTAGTAGTGGAGAGGTGACGAAGAAAAGACAAAAGTAAATAGTATTCTCCAAGAGAAGGTATAAGTGTATAGCTTCTATTCCTATAGCCTCTTTTGCTTAATTGATTAAGTGATGAAGCATGAATGATGATCAACCTATTGAGGATGATTGAAAATTAGGGTTTTGGAAATTTGGTGAATTTAAAAAGAAAAAGGATTAGCTTTGGCAAGAACCTTATCGCAGCCAGCTACCCCTGGCCACCGACAAGATTCCGCTGCCAAGAGGTCACCCCTAACAGCCGAACAAGGGGCACGTGTAAGTTTGAAGACAAGAAAGAATGGATGATTAAGAAAAGGGAAAACTATTGCTAGACCCTTGAACTGTCTCTGTTAATTAGTAAGTTTATTTCAACACCTAGAACATAATAATTGAAGGGTTAATTTGCCTTAGGCCCTTGAAGTTACCAATGATTATAAATAGGTCCAAACTAAGTAAGGAAGGCTAAATTGGGCATGGATAATTTATCTTTAGCCTCCAGACCTCGCGATTAATTGCTCATAGGTCCAAAATCATCTAGGAACTATTATAAAATTATGATGAAATAGCTAAAATTACCAATAACCTTATGTGAACCCTTATTATGAGTCTTAAATGTTATTTGATCCTATTTGAACCTAATTTATAAAGTGATTAGTATAAGTTATATTAGTTTGGTACTAACCCTATGTTAATTATACTATAGGATCTAAGTGGTATCGAAGGGAATCTTTTAGGGAAGACTCGTATAGAAAAAGGTAAGTCCATTTCTCACTAGTGTTTTTATAATATAAATCACACGAGTATTATATATGATTGATCTTGTGCCTGAAAAACAATTATTCTATAATGTTTCACGTATAGTAAATGAAATGTGATTTGATCTATTCAGTTGTGGCTTACCTTATAATATAATTTTGATATTGTATGAGATATGAAAAGTGATTTTGATTTCATGTAAAATATGGCAAGTGATTTTGGTTCTCATGCGATATCAAATAGAAAAAAAATGTGAATATTTCTTTGTTCGGAAGCTATTAAAAAAAAGATGTCTTTTTAATGTGTTTCGAATAGTTTGACGGATTCAAGAGATTTTCTGTGACTTGGTATTTGAAACAAATAAATAAAAGTGAATTCCATAAAGTATTTTAGCTGAGTTAATGAGTTTTACACTTGTCCGCTTGATTTGAAAATGTTTACGATTCTGACAAATGATCCGATTTGGATTTGACAAGTAATTCTTGATGTTCTCAAAACTCTCAGAAAGTCCATAATGGAGTGTTCTGTCCGTGCATGTCATATGGTGAATGCACATTTATCTGGCTCTTTTGAGTATTTTTAATCGCTTTTGACCCTTTAGGCATTTTTGATTTGGTCGGCAAACTATGACAGTGTTAGGTGCATTATATTCCTAAAAATTATCTGTATTGTAATGTGTTTTATGCATAGTTGCACGGAACCCATTTCATTCCGGTTCAAGGGAGGGTACGGGAGCATGATATGCCACTCATTAGGAATAGGGTACGAAGGGGTAGACTTATATGGTATGCTAGGGAAGGTGGTACGTATTAGGTTCGGTTCTTAAATGCAGGAATTGGAGATTTTGCAGTAGTCAAAATTAAGAAATATGCGAGTTGATATCATTAATGATAAACAAACCTTGAGAATTATGTTGCAATTAAAGTATACATATATTATTTGCATAAATTTTCATGTTTTTTGTTGTTTATTCTATTGAAAGAGTTACTGTTTGTCAAAATCCTAATTGGTTTGAATTCTAAATCGGTTCACTAGAGTTAGTGAATCGGTTTGTGTTCTACCGTGAATCCAAAAAGATTGAACTCGGGTTGCGGTTCGCTATAGTGTCACACGTTCCCGACTTCTATGGTTCTACGCATTCTCATGCTACTGGGCTATAACATTTGTAGCTCATGATGCGGTTCTTGCAATTATGTGAATAACTCATCGAGATTTGAGGTTCTAACATTCAGCCGTGAATTTGAGAAAACGAAAATCTTATGGTTCTGCGCAAGTTTTCACTTATCCATTTTCTCAGTATTTATCTTGATTGCAAAAAGTCAATTTTGGAATATATGACAGTGCATTCAGTTTGCATATAAGAAAGAGTTCTATATTTTGCATTCTTTCTTGAAAATATTAGTAATATGTTCTTTTATGCAATAATTGGTCATCTTAGAAATCCAAGTTCAAAACTTATAATCAATATTTCTAAGAATCATTATTTTGTTAGATATTTAGGAACTCTAGTGGAAAATGTTCTCACTGGACTTTAGCTCACCCCGTTCTTTTCAAAAAAAAATCAGATCTGATGTAGCCTCGCATATAGGCTACATCAAAATTTGGTAATATGTTCTTTTATGCAATATTAGTAATATGTTCTTTCTTGAAAATATTAGTAATATGTTCTTTTATGCAATATTTGGTCATCTTAGAAATCCAAGTTCAAAACTTATAATCAATATTTCTAAGAATCATTATTTTGTTAGATATTTAGGAACTCTAGTGGGAAATGTTCTCACTGGACTTTAGCTCACCCCGTTCTTTTCAAAAAAA